AGTTGTTACCCTTTGGGGAAGGCAGCTGGAAAGGGTTCCAAGAACTATTCTGGCATGCAGATAAGTCTTGATCTTGGTGTTGATTTACATAGGTATGTTTGATTTATGAAAATTGACCAAGCTGTCCATCATATAAGCACTTCTTTGTGTGTATATTATAATTCAATTTAAAGTTTTCCCAAAAGTTACATAAATAGATACTAGAAGATATCATAAATACTTAGATATTGGATTATTGAAAAAGTTATGATGCATTTTTGCATAGAAAAACACAGAAAAAGGGAACCAGCAGTTAGCATAACGGCTATATTGCTGGACTCCCACATAGTCGACCGTGGTTCACGTCCCAGACCCAGTGGCTTAAAACTCACCCTGGGCACGTGTGCGTGCGTGCCCAAGATCCCGAGAGGAGAATGGAGGAGAAAGGATTGCGGTGTGACCATCCCCCCTGGGGGGTGATTTCTCGCTTTCTGTCTCTATGTCTCTCTGTCTGGTGAAAACCTCTCAAAAAAAAAAAAAAAAACTTTTTCCAACATCCCAATATTTTAAGTAGTATTAATATCTACCCATTTTGTTTTTGTTTTGTTTTTTAAAGAATTATGTATTTAACTATATTTATTTATTTATTTTATTTACCTTTAATTTGATCAGAGAGGGACACAGAGAGAGAAGAGAAGCCACCAGGTCTGGGACTTGGACTTGACCCGTGGTTGGCCATATGAGAGTCCAGCACTCTTAACCACTATTCCACCTGCTGGCCCCAGTATCTACTCATTTTGATTTAGAAGGGGAATGCTACAAAACAATATTCTTGGGGTTTCAGACATTTTTGTTCTTCCATTTGACTCTGAAGACATTTTTATTTCGTATTTATGAATACATATTTTAATGATATAATTATGTAAACAGTGGCAAATGTTCACTGAGAAAAGTTTTTTTTAAGAATTTATTCAGGGACCAGCAGTTGGTGTAATGGCTATGTCGCTGGACTCCCATGTAGTTGACCGTGGTTCGAGTGCTGGGCCCAGTGGCTTAAACTCACATCAGGTGCGCGTGCGTGCGTGCCCAAGATCCTGAGAGGGGAATGGAGAAGAAGGGATTGCATCGTGCCCCCCCCCCCCCCCCCCCGCCCAGAGAAAGAGAGAGGGAAAGTGAGAAAGCAAGCTGTCAGGTCTGGGACTTGAACTGTGGTTGGCCATGTTGGATTCCAGCACCTTTAATCACCATGCCACTTGCTGGGCCTATTATCATTAGTTTTTAATTTGACCAGAGACATAGAGAAAGAGAAAGGGAAAGCAAGAAAATAAGCTGACAGGTCCAGGACTTGAACTGTAGTTGGCCATGTGAGAATCCAGCACCTTTAACCACCACACCACTTGCTGGCCCCAAGAAAATATTTTGACCTCCAATTCCAATTCATAAAACCTATTTAACTATTTTTTTTTAATTCTTTGCTTTATTTTTTTTTTAAGCCTTTTAATTCTTAGGTTGGTTATTGTTTTTTTTTTTTTTAAAATTAATTATTGGGACCAGCAGTTGGCATAATGGCTATGTCGCTGGACTCCCACGTAGTTGACTGTGGTTCGAGTCCCGGACCCGGTGGCTTAAACTCACGCCAGGTGCGTGTGCGTGTGTCCCCAAGATCCCGAGAGGAGAATGGAGGAGAAGGGATTGTGGTGTGGGCATACCCCCCTGGGGGGTGATTTCTCGCTTTCTGTCTCTCTGTCTCTCTCTCTCTGTCTGGCGAGCGCACGCACCCTGTAGCGAAAACCTCTCCAAAGGAAAAAAAAAAGAATTATTTATATATTTAGTTCTATTTGCTATTATTATTTTTTAATTTGATGAGAGAGAGAGACAGAGAAAGGGAAAGCGAGAAACGAAGCTGCCAGGTCCAGGACTTGAACCATGGTCTGTCATGTGGGAATCCAGTGCTCTTAACCACCATGCCATCTGCTCTGCTGGCCCCTTAGGTCAGTTTGTTTTACAATGTGACTAATAGTTTCCAATTTCACAGAGATCATAGTTTCTCTGTAAACATTCAGTTTATTGATTATTTTTGTCCATATTCCGTGCCACCTGCTGGCCCCAAGAAAATATTTTGACCTCAATTTCAGATTCATAAAACATACTTAATTCTTGGCTTTTTTTTTTTTTTTTTTTTTTTGGTGCCTTTTATATTTTTTGGTATGGTTTTCTTTTAATTCTTAGGTCAGTGTGTTTTTTAAAAAGAATTATTTAATTCCATTTGTTATTAATTTTTTAATTTGACAAGAGACAGACAGAAAGAGAAAGGGAGAGCGAGAAGACGAGCTGCCAGGTCTGGGACTCAAACTGTGGTCAGCCATGTGGGAATCCAGTGCCCTTAACCACCACACCACCAGTGGACCCTTCGGTCAGTATGTTTTACAATGTGATTAGCAGGGGTTTTGTTTTATTTGTTTGTTTTTTTTGGAGAGGTTTTTGCTATAGGGTGCGTGCACTCGCAGTTTTCAGTTTCACTGAGATCATAATTTCTCTGTAAACATTCAATTTATTGGTTATTTTTGTCCATATTAGAATTACTGTTCATATTTGATTTGCTGGTTACTGTGGAGGCCCATATCTGATTTTATCATTCACAGCTTCTGCCTTTGTGAATTTTTTCTGTCAAGTTTCTAATTATAATTTTATCAAGTTTTTCCTTCTGTTCAGTTTTTTTTTTTTTAAGAATTATTTATTTAACTTTATTCATTCATTTATTTTTAATTTCACCAGAGAGTGAGACACACACAGAGAGAGAGAGAGAGAGAGAGAGAGAGGGTGAAAAAGCAAGCTATCAGATCTGGGACTTGAACCCTGGTCTGCCATGTGCGAGTATCCAGAGCCTTAACCACCAGGCCACCTGCTGGCCCCCTGTTTAATTTTTGGTTGTTTTTCTTTTTAATGGCCAGAGGCATGTGCTCACCAAATGGGAGGAGGGGGCATTCCCCCAATTGGGCATGGCCAACCTTTCTCCATTCTGTCAGGATTTGGGGCACACATGCTCATGTGCTTGGTATGGTTTTTCAAGCCACTAGGGCTGGAATTTGAACCATGCTTGGCCGTTTAGTGGTTAAGCACAAAGCACTATGGTATGGGCCCTCTTAATTTTAAGGACATATGTTGCTGTATTTTAATTGTTGCCTTTTGATAGTTTTATTTTGAATTGATTATTTTATTTTATTTAAAGAATTATTTTTATCTTATGTATTTATTTAATTAGTTAATTTAAATTTGATCAGAGAGGGACAGATTGAGAGAGAGAGAGAGAGAGAAAATGAGAAAGCAAGCCACCAGGTCTGGGACTCAAACCACAGTCAGCCATGTGGGAGTCTAGTACATTTAACCACCATGCCAACTGCTGGCCCCAGTAATTTTTTTTTTTTTTAAAGATTTTTGCCATAACGTGTGTACACGTGCTTGCCAGGGAGAGACAGTGAGGAGAAAAGTGAGAAATTACCTTCTGAGGGGATGGCCACACCAGAATCTTTTCTCCTCTGTTCCTTTCCTGGGATTTTGGGCATACATATTTTCAGGCTCCCAGGTCCAGGACTTGAACTGTGTTCATCCATGTGCATGTCCAGGACCTTAACCACTATGACACCTGCTGGCCTCTTTTATTGATTATTCCTACCTACTTTAATATTTCCTTGTTTTTCTAGTGATTCTCAGATCATAGAAAGGTGACCCTCCCTTAAAAATTTTTGTCCACACACACACACACATATATATATATATATTGTTGTTTCCAGATTTTAAACCAGAAATCAGTGATCTGCAGCAATTAGTTGGCATTTTAGTCTCTCCAGGTTGAGAGAGCAAGTAGGCCCCTTACTTGAAAGAGTGAAAGAGATGTTGTTTGGTTTTGCCGTCTTGTTTTGTTTTGGGTTCTAGGGTGTATACGTTCACCAGAGAGAGAGAGACAGAGAAGGAGAGGAAAAGTGAGAAAGCAAGCAACCAGGTCTGGCACTCAAACCATGGTCGACCATGTGGAAGTCCAGTGTCTTAACCACTATACCACCTGCTGTCCCCTGCCTGGCAATTTTTTTTTTTTTTAAGAATTATTTATATTTTATTTTTTATTTTTATTTTATTTTCTTTTTTTTGAGAGATTTTCACTGTAGGGCGCGTGCGCTCGCCAGACAGACAGAGAGAGACATAGAGACAGAAAGTGAGAAATCACCCCCCAGGGGGGATGGTCACGCCGCAATCCCTTCTCCTCCATTCTCCTCTCGGGATCTTGGGCACGCACGCACACGCGCCCGAGAATTATTTTTATTTTATTTATTATTATATTTTATTTGATCAAAGAGAGACTGAGACAGAGAAAGTGAGAAAGTCACCAGGTCGAGGACTCAGACTGCAGTTGGCCATGTGGGAGTCTTGTGCCACAGCCAGCACGCCACCTGCCAGCCTGGCATACTTTTACAGCCACCAAGCTAGGGTTTGAACTACAGTTGGCCATTTGAGATCTGTCTCTTAACTCCTAGGTTATTAGGCCAGCCATTTATGGTTGTCTTTGTTTTTTTTTTTGTTTGTTTATTTTTTTTAGTTTATCTCTTTGATGAGAGAGTGAGTTGCATGCATGCTCGGCAAGATCTTATTTCACCATGATCTTCCTCGGTTTTTCCAGCCAGCCAGGATCATGGGGGCACATATATCCACACTCAATATGATGAAGTCAAGATGGGATCCGAACTCCAGTTCACCATATGACACCCAGCCTTCCAGGGCAGTGCCCTACCATGTCGACCACCATAGCTGGGCCAGTTTCTATTATTTTAGTTTGATATCCTGCTACTAATATTTGTTATAGATAAGATTAAAAACTCATAAAAATGTATTAGTAATTAAGTTCAAGCAGAGTGCTTTAAGAGGGCAAAAGCATGAGGTCAGAATGCTCTCCAGGGTAAATATCCCATTCATTAGCCTTCCTGACAAGGAAGGCTGACAAGGAATCTTCACTTTCTCTCAACTCATAGGCAGCATTGCAGAAACAACAGGAAGTAGCAGTGGCTGGTGCTTCTTTGCCTACATCATCAAAAGTGAATTCAACTGTAACAAGTGATATGATGTCAGTTAATGGACAGGCCAAAACCCACACTGACAACTCGGAAAAAGAACTTGAACCAGAAGCCGCAGAAGAAGCCCTGGAGAATGGACCAAAAGGTACAGTCTGGCATATGTTCATCCAGCCCGATGTCATCATTCAGAAACTATGAAAAGCAAAGGTCAGGTTTGAGAGCAATTAGGTATTTGTGACTGTTGAACACTTTTTCATTATTTTTAGTCTGAATCTGATGTTTCTAATGACCTATAGAATAGTGTTAAAGAACAAATCATCAGTCTTTTAGAAACTTTTAAAACAAAACTTAACCTTTTGTTTTGTCTTTAGATGGATTGGCTGATTTTTGCTTTGTAACAAATTACACCCAAATATAACTGCTTACAATAACATCTTCACATGGTTTTTGTGGCTGGGAAATTTATGAATGGTTTAGCTGGATAGTTTGTCTTGGGGTCCTGGTTACATTGTAGTCTGGGTGTTGGCTAGGGCTCCCATCATGTGAAGGCGTGACTAGGACTACAGAAGTTGCTTCTAAAATGCTAACCTGGCTGGGAAATTGGTGCTGGCTATTTGCAGGAGATTTCAGTTTCTTGCCCTATGCATCTTCCCTATAGGATTGCTTGTGTGTCTTCAACAAACAGTGGCTGGCTTCCCCAGAGCACATGATCCGAGAGAATAAAGAAGTGACAGTGTCTTGGGACCAGCAGGTGTCGTGGTGGTTAAGGTGCTGGACACTCCCACATGGTGACCATGGTTCAAGTCCTGGACCTGGTGGCTTCCTTGCTCACTTTCTCTCTGTGTCTCTCTCTGGACAAATTAAAATGAATGAATGAATACATCAAATTTAATAAATAATTCTTTAAAAATTTTAAAATAGAAGCGACAGTGTCTTTTATGCTTTGACTTTGAAAGTAATGTATCAGCACCTATGTATTCTATTGGTCACATATGCCAACCTTGATAAATTGTGGGTGGTGACCTCACAAATGATGACTACCTGGAGGTGAAGATTACTAGGGGCTATCATGGACACTGGCTACCATATAAAATTTGAGACTAAAGTACCATATTGCCTAGAAGGTAACAGTTTTAAAACTACTAGCTGTTCGTGAGCAGCTTGATCATATATTTAGCAACTAATTGAAGGGTTTCTGCTGCAAGTGTACAGTGGTAAGGCAAAATCACACACATGATATGAAAATTGTAGCCATACTTTGATGGAGAAAAAGAGACATGAGTTTGAGAGCATGTAATAAGGGGGGTTGTGCCCTGGTCAGGTCACTAGAGGCTTTCCTAAGGGATGACTGAGCTGAAAAATCCGTAGGAAGAATAGGAGGATACTAAGTAAGACAGCATTTCACCGACAGTGGTCAGGGATGATGATCTGGTTCATACAAAATTTCGTTTCAGATTTTCCTTGTCTTTTTTTAAAAAAATAATTATTACACTAAACTTTTTTTTTTTTTTTTTGAGGTCTTTGCTATAGGGCGCGTGTGCTCGCCAGACAGACAGAGACAGAGAGACAGAAAGTGAGAAATCACCCCCCAGGGAGGATGGCCACACCACAGTCCCTTCTCCTCCGTTCTCCTCTTGGGATCTTGGGCACGCACGCACATGCGCCCGGTATGAGTTTTAAGCCACCGGGTCCGGAACGCGAACCACAGTCGACTACATGGGAGTCCAGCAACATAGGCATTACACTAACTGCTGGTCCCAACTTTATTTTTATTTTAATTTGACCAGCGAGGGACAGAGTGAGAAAGCAAGCTGCCAGATCCAGGACTTCACCTGCCATCAGCCATGTGGTAATCCAGTTCCCTTAACCACCATGCCACCTACTGGCCCCTGGATTTTGCTTGTCTTTTTAGAACAAATAACAAAGTAGTTTCAGAAAAGACCTTGAAATCCTTTGGTTTACTCTCCTCTCCTCCTCCCCTGCCTTTTTTTTTTTTTTTTTTTTAAGAATTATTTTATTTATTTATTTTAATTTGACCAGAGAGGGACAGAGAGAGAGCAAAAACCGGCCACCAGATCCAGGACTTATGGTTGTCCATGTGGGAGTCCAGCGCCATTAACCACCATGCCACCTGTCGACCCCTGCCACTTTTTTTTTTTTTTTTTTAATCAGGAGTGTATACTAGTACATCTGTCCTTTAGTATCTGCAGTTTGGTTTCAGGATCCCCACATCCCAACCCAGATAGCAAAATTTGTAGGTGCTCAAGTCCTTTATATAAAATGACATAGTATTTGCATGTAACCTATACACATCCACAATCTAAATGTTATGTGAAGAGCTGTTTTACTGTACTGTTTAGAGAATAATGAAAAAATCTGTACATGTTTCAAATAGTTGTAGTCATCGTGGGCCTGACTGCATAGTTCACTTTTCATATGCAGTTGATTTAACCTACAAGTATGGAACCATGAGTCAACTGTACCTTCACATGAGAGAAATGTTCTTAGACTAATTTAGGAAAACCTGTTGAGTGGTGTAGTACACATAGATACTACTCAGTAACAAGACATGGCTCTTTCTCTCAGTCTGTAGAAGTTCCAATCCTTTCTTGAGTTTTTGTGTTTCTTTGAGCTTCTTTAGAATAGCTCCTAGAACTTTGGGATACTCAGAGGTAAAGGCTTGTTTTCAGCAGGTGGACTACAATGAAAGTCTGATTTTCTTTGTTCATCTCCTAGGTCCAGATCTCTCCTTGCTAGAATGTCTCCTTAGCTTCAGTTAGGAGGCATCCCTTCCAAGACCACCCTTAAATCTATATGTGATTCGAGTGTTGAAAAAAAAATTCTCTCTGCGATTGTGGATGGCATTTGCTACTTTTAAGTAGTGCGATGACCTCTGAGTGTGTGTCATGGTTAAATGTAGTCATCTGGGAAGGTTCCATGGGATCGTTGTTACATTCTTCCAAGTCCTTGATCTAAGCTAGGCCATGTTATACTTTGTCCCCTAGTACAGCAAACCAGGTCGTCTATGCAGATTTTGCTGCCTACGAGTGAAGACCTTTTCTCTTTAGCTTTTGTAATTCCTGTTCTCTTTAGAATCTCTTCCAGTAATAGCAGCTCCATCCATGTGGACACGACCCCAGATCAAAGACTTTAAAGAGAAGATTCGGCAGGATGCGGATTCCGTGATAACAGTGGGCCGAGGAGAAGTGGTCACTGTTCGAGTACCTACCCATGAAGAAGGATCATATCTCTTTTGGGAATTTGCTACAGACAATTATGACATTGGGTTTGGGGTGTATTTTGAATGGACAGACTCTCCGAACACTGCTGTCAGCGTGCACGTCAGTGAGTCCAGCGACGACGAGGAGGAGGAGGAAGGTAGATCACTGGTCAATATTGTAGTTGTGTGTTTTTTATTGGCGAAAATGGTACCTAGCTCTCACATGCCAGCCATCCTTCCTGATTAATGCTTTATGGACAGAGAACAGTCTCTTCATTAGTGGAATATTGGGCTGAAAACAGTGTGAGAGAAGCCAGCCTCATGGAGGAGGTTAGGGTCTGAACATAATTTTTTCTGATCGTTAGGAATATCTCTTTGGTGATTTGACTGTTTACTGCTTTTTAAATACTGTTTTACTTATAGCCTTGTGTGTTAAAAAATCAAATATGTAAAATTAGTTGGAAGAATTTTAAAGGAGCAGATAAGAATTTCTGTCAACCCTGGAACTTACTTGAATTTCTATTTCTGGGGCCAGCCAGTGGTGTTGTGGTCAGAGTGGCTGGATCCCACACAACCAACTGTGCACTTTTGAGTCCTGGACCCAGCAGCTTAAAAGACACTGGGTGTATGTGCATTTGTGCCCAGAATCCCTAAAGGAGAGGTGGAGAAGAGGAGATTGCGCCATGACCATCCCCCACAGGGGGTGCTTTCTCATTTTCCTTTTTCTTTCACTTTTCTTCGTTCCCTCTCTCTCCAATGAGCACGTGCACCTTCTAACAAATTTTTTTTTTTTTTTTTTTAGAAATGTTTGCTATGGGGCATATATGCTCGCCAGAAAGAGACAGAGAGACAGAAAGTGAGAAATCACCCCATGGGGGGATGGCCATGCTACAATCCCTTCTCCATTCTCCTCTCAGGATCTTGGGCACACATGCACATGTGCCCGGCCTGAGTTTTAAGCTGCTGGGTCCAAGACTCAAACTGCCGTCAACTATCGAGAGTCCAGTGATGTAAGCATTACACTATCTCCTGGTCCAAATATTTTTTTTTTAATTATATGTTTGGTATTAGCTTTTGGAGAGGTTTTTGCTATAGGGCATGTGTGCATGCCAGAAAGAGAGAAACAGAAAGCGAGAAATCACCCCCCAGGTAGGTTGGCCATGCTGCAGTTCCTTCTCTTTCATTCTCCTCTTGGGGATCTTGGGCATGCACACACACACACACCCGGCGTGAGTTTAAGCCATCAGGTTCAGGACTCAAACCATGGTCGACTACATGGGAGTCCAGAAACATAGCCATTACGCCAACTGCTGGTCCCTGGTCATTATTCTTAAATCTTACAGGCATATACAGGAATTCCCCAGAACATCCCTTCTCTCCCCTAGAAAATTTGTATGTTCTTCCTTGTGAAAAGCCCTATTTTACCAGAATGTAGTTTTTAGATTTTATTTAAATACACAGGCAAAATCTGGTGTTTTCAAAGACAGGTGTAGGAAGTAGGTTACAAAAATATTGCTCATTAATTGAGAAAATAGTCACCTTAATTTTGCTGCTCAGAAAAGTTAGAACTTGGGGTTTAATACACACCAACTAAGCACTTAAATTACTTGGCTTGAATAAGAGTGATTTGGAGGGAGTGCCTGATGGCGAGAATAGAAAAGCACCATATCTCAGTTCCTTAAGACTGACCTTGCAGCTCACTTATTTTTATTTATTTATTTATTTATTTTGAGAGGTTTTTGCTATAGGGCGCGTGCGCTCACCAGACAGAGAGAGACATAGAGACAGAAAACGAGAAATCACCCCCCGGGGGGGATGGTCACTCCGCAATCCCTTCTCCTCCATTCTCCTCTCAGGATCTTGGGCACGCACGCACACGTGCCCAGTGTGAGTTTTAAGCCACCGGGTCCGGGACGCGAACCTCAGTCAACTACGTGGGAATCCAGCGACATAGCCATTACGCTAACTGCTGGTTCCTGTAGACTGCTTTTTCTTGAAGAGGGTTGGTAATGTTATTTCATATGGATTATATTAGGATAATTGAAAGTGATAATTGTTAGGGGTGTGTGGAGGGAGCCTAAAATTCCAGCAGCTCTTAAGGTATACAATTATTCTGTCATAGTACCATACCATGCTTTACTCTGAGGCCCCTAGAGTCATGAATAGAAGCACATACAGCAGGTGTGCCATAAACTTTTCTTGAAATTAAATTTAATATTCAGCTTTACAGAAAATAATACTAATCACTTTTTCACCTCTGAAGATGGTTTTAATTCTATAGAATTATCTTCATGAACCATCCAGAGTATCTCAAATTCCATTACATCTTGCAGATTGACTATCACTACAGATACAGATTTGAAGTCTTTCATTGGACCATTGGTCTAGGTTTGAGCTGCTAAATGTGGAAAGCATGTTCCATAGGCCAGTGTCCGTTGGAAGCTGCCCTGTCCTATGTGGCATTTTGTCTTTAGTAATCTTTATTCTTGAGTACCATCAGCAAGTTAAAGCATTGCTTATAAATATAACTGACTAAGCTAGAAATAAAGAAGAAAGAATGGGAAAAAAAAAAAACAAGGGTTGAGAGGGTACAGTAGATGGAGAAATGTTTACATCTCTGGACTCCCACATGGACAACTGTGGTTCGAGTTCTGGACCCAGTGGCTTGAAACTCATGCCAGGCACATGTGCGTGTGTGCCCAAGATCCTGAGAGGAGACTGGAAGAGAAGGGATTGTGGTGTGGCCATCCCACCTAGGTGGGGGGGGGTGATTTCTTGTTTTCTGTCTCTCTGGCGAGTGTACACAGCCTGTAGCAAAAATCTCTCTAAAATAAATAAGAAGTGAAAGAGAAGGACCCAAACAGATTGGTCAGGTGTCACTACCATTGTCTTGAGGTGCCCCTCAGCAACATCAGGACCAGGGACAAAGCCCTGTGGGGCCTTTCTGATGTATCACTGCGACATGTTAAATACACAGGCAAAATCGGGTGTTTTCAAAGACGGGTCTAGGAAGTAAGTCATAAATGTATAACCTTATAATTATTTAATTTTCGGGACCAGCAGTTAGCATAATGGCTATGTCGCTGAACTCCCATGTAGCCAGCTGCAGTTTGAGTCCTGGACCCAGTGGCTTAAACTCATGTCGGGCGCGTGTGCATGCGTTCCCAAGAGGAGAATGGAGGAGAAGGGATTGCAGCGTAGCCATCCCCCTGGGGGGTGATTTCTTGCTTTTTGTCTCTCTGTCTCTCTGTCTTTCTGGCAAGAGCACATGCTCTATAGCAAAATCCTCTCCAAAAAAACAACTATTTAATTTTCTGTTTAAAAGTTGGTTGATGTAATGTGTTTCTCCTTACCTGCTAGAAAACTTCCAGAACAAGATTACTTTCTCATCTGAGCCCTCAGGTGATGGTAGTTTTGGGGTTGTTGAAATACACTGGTTAAAAAATGACTGGGGTCCAGTGCCTGTCTTTTTTTTTTTTTCTTTCCTTTTTGGAGAGGTTTTTGCTATAGGGTGCATGCGCTCACCAGAGAGAGACAGAGAGAGTCAGGGAGACAGAAAGCGAGAAATCACCCCCCAGGGGGGATGGCCATGCCACAATCCCTTCTCCATTCTCCTCTCGGGATCGGCACGCACGCACACGCGCCCGGCATGAGTTTAAGCCACCGGGTCCAGGACTCGAACCACAGTCAACTACGTGGGAGTCCAGCAACATAGCCATTACACTAACTGCTAGTCCCTCCAGTGCCTGTCTTGAGGTGGGAACCTTGATATCTTTGATCAGAACTCTAATACATGTCCCTTAAATGGAAGACAACATAACCTTTACTTTACTATTCCTATTTATAAAATGTTTTACATCTAAAACTAATTTATTAAAACCTGTGTATTGAAAGTAAAAACAGGCGGGGCTGGCAAGTGGTGTGGAGACAAAAAGACAAAGCAAGAAATCACCTCAGCAAGGGTAGCCATACCACAAGCCCTTTTCCTCCATTGTGCTCTTGGAATTTGGGGCATGCATACACACGCACCCAGTGTGAGTTTTAAGCCGCCAGATCCAGGACTTGAATTGCAGTCCACTACATGGGAGTCTAGCAACATAACCATTACACCACTACTGGTTCCATAAAATAACTTTTTTTTTTAATTACTTTATTTATTATTTTTTCACATGAGTTTTGCCAGAAGA